ACAACAGTCTCATTCTAGTTCAGTGATGGGCAACCATGTTTAGTGTGTGGGCCACATGAGTGGCCCTTCATCTCAGTGGGCCGCACGATTGAAATCGGGCCTGTGCACTAACCATGACCCCCGCAATAAGATTAAATACATTGCACTTGATTCTCCTTCTTTATCATGCCTCTTTCAACACAAAGGGATCCATTATCAGAGGCAAATTAAATTGTCAGCCAGAGTCACAAAGAAGCGGAGGGAGCGCCCGGCTCTCCCAGTGTTGTGTGCAGTCAGCATGCACCTCACATGTGCCTTTGCGTTAAACGAGTGCCGCTTCTTGTTTTGCCAGGAGCTGCCCAACCCGCCCTTCCATTGTAGGCTCCGCCCTCACTCCGCCCATTCCCGCAATCCCCGACCTCGCCTCTTCCCTGCCTCCTCCTCCTCTGAGCGCACCCCATATCTTCTCTGCCCCTCCCCCCAGCATTGCTGGGGTGCTGTAAATCAGCTGATTTGCAGCACTCCAAAAGTGCTGGGAGGGGGAGGGAGTAAGTAAACGCAAGGCCCCAGCATGCAAGAGTTATGGGGGAAGGGAACAGGGGCAGTGAGCGGGTTGCATGTAGAACCCTGATGGGCCGCATGTGGCCTGTGGGTGGCCCACCACTGGTCTAGTATTTAGTGGATTCTTGCCCATATCAGAAAGTTCTGCCCTATTAGGTCTCAACTCAAGAAACGCCCAGGGTGGGAATAACAAGCATCTGGATTCCCCTCTTGCATTTTGTTTTTTAACCCTTTGTGCAAGTAGGTAAGTGAGAACTTCTCTCAGACATTCAGAAATGTTCTGATTGTGGGGTCACTGCAGGAAGGGGATCAGTCACCAGGGAGGGGAGGCACTCTGCAGTCTAGACGGAGCACTCATGCCCAGGAAGGCCAGATCTTGCAGAACTAGGCCAGAGCAGCAGGGTGAGCTCTTCTGGAGGGAGATTTGAGACCATCTTCAGTGGTGACAGGATGCAAAACAACTATCCGCTTGGTCTCCTCAGCTGCGAAAGCCATGTTGGCAGCTGGGGGTCCCGTCGCCAGAGCTGGTGGAATGTACTAATGAATCTGGCTCTCTGTTCTCATGTCCACAGGGGACACCCCATGCTTAGGTGGGAATTAGGGATGTAATAATGTAGTCGATTAACCGATAAGCAAAAGCTTATCGGTTAATGCTATAGACGACATGCATTCCCCCACCCTCTCACTTCCACCAGTAAATTTTTTAGCAGGCTGGCCAGCAGCCCGGATCAGACCTGGCTCATGCCTGGTACAGGCCATACGCTTGTTATGGCTCTGCATTTAAAGTGTATTAGGAGCCAGGTGGGCAGGCAGCCCGCCCGACTCTGTTCTGGCTCTTGCTGGGTCCAGGAGCTCAGCCCTTCCCCTGGACAGGGGCTGCTGCCACCCCACGCTGCTGCCTCTGTATCAGAGGCAGCAGTATGGGGTGACAGGCAGCTAAGGTCCACAAGGGGAGCCAGTTTAAAAACCATCTCCCCTCATGGATTAGCTGCCTGTCACCCCATACTGCTGCCTCTGATACAGAGGCAGCAGCGTGGGGTGGCAGCAGCCCCTGTCCAGGGGAAGGGCTGAGCTCCTGGACCCATTAGGAATGGGGCTGGAACGCACTGGCTGCTGGCCCTGGACTATAGAATAGTCCAGTGTTCCCCCAGGGTTCCGCGAAGCAAAAGTAAGGGTTCCCCCCTCCCATTAAAGAGACAGTTATCACTTTTTTTTTTTCTTTTTTTGCTTGACCAGTTTTCCTGGCTGGGGTTCCTTGAAATTCTGAAGGGGTTCCTTGGCCAAAAAAAATTGGGAAACACTGGAATAGTCGAGTAACTAATAAGAATTCATGAGCTTAATTGACTATCCCATCCCTAATGGGAACGGCAAACACGAAGTGGGAAGCTGTAGCTTGCCTGGTTTCCAAAGATGCCTGTGAAGCAGCCGTGGCTCTGGAAAAGACTGGAGATTGCGCGTCTCTGCTGGATTACACATCGCATGCACACTGCGCCCCTGAGGAGCCGACGAAATGAATCAGGAACCACGCCACCCTAAACCTTAGGCAGGGTTTTCCACGGGAGCAGATCCGTGCGTCATGTAGGGCCCCAAAGCATTGGGACTACACAGCGATACAGGCAGTCACAGCAGAGGGCTGGCGGTCAAACTGGACAGCCCCTTATCAACCATTCTGGCCCCATCCCTGGCACCCCGAAAGGCCCCATTCTAGGAGAATTTCTCCTGCAGAGGGGAGTTCGTTGTGGCACAGAACAACACTGCCTGCAAGCCCCTGAGTCTCTCCCCCACATTGTTGGCTTTAGAGTAGCAGCGGACCCTTCAGTCACTCCGTACCCTGCAAGCGAGCGGGAGGGCCTCTTCTCACTTCCCCCAGTCCTGTAGCACTACCTGGCCTCTTATGCTCTGTGCTGGGCTCAGGGCAGGTTTCCTAGGTAGCCGTGCCCCACCACGGGCTAAAGGCACATGTGGGCTGAGCTCCGAAGCAGCAATGGCCCGGCTCTGTCAGCTGCACGGGGAATAATTAGCTCCCCCTCTCCAGCTGTGCTATCGACTGGAGAGCTATTCCCGATTGATTCAGCACTGGATGGCCTGCTTGAGATAGTGACACGCTCCCCAGCCCTGAGTACGGAAATCAGTTAGAGGTAGGGCTGGCCCTGCCATGAGGCCAACTGAGGCAGCCGCCTCAGGAGCCAGACTATGGGGGAGGAGGAGGTGCCACTAGGAACCAGAGTATAGAAAATTGTGTCTGCTGCTGGTGCATATGTAGGTAGCAGAGCAGTGCCATGGGAGGAGTAGAACAGGAAGAAGGCAGAGTCGAGACCTTTCAAAGTTTTGGCCCAAGCAAGGGGACATGGGGGAATCATTTGAGCTCCCCGCCTAAGGTGCCAAAACGTGGGCTGGCCCTGGTTAGGGGCGCTCAGTAGAAACCCCGCAGGGTCTGATTTTTTGTTCGTTTAGGCCAGCCATTGCCAGCAACAGCAAAGAAGGAAACAGAACCAACTACAGGAGGCTTGGACGCAATGTGCAGGGAGCGGAGCTGATTAAACACGGGCACGAATGACCCACGGGACACTCTTCGGACCATCACCGTTCTGCATGGCCAAAGGAGACCCGGCAACGGGCTGCTGTTTGCAGACATGCAAGGGGTGGAGCTGGTTTTCCTCTTCACATTTTTCACTACTGTGGAGAGCATGCTTGGGATGCTTGGCAGCTCCTTGGATCGTGTTCTGTATGGAGCAGGGCAGACGGCCCTAAGATGGTTTGTTAATGAACCCAGCATAGATGCAAGGTGCCGGCCTATTGGATGACTGGGGTTGGTGGACGGCGTCTATTGGAATCCAAAGGCCCACCCCCCTCAAACGAGGGACGGCCACGGAGAGCGGATACAAAGAATGAGCAAACAGAGATGGAGGGCCGGGTCAAGGAAGGAACCAGAAGGCAACACCGAACCAAAAAATTCCAGATGAGCTGCTGGTACAAGGCATCCCAGAGGATCCCTGCTTGGATGCAGGCATGGACAAGAGACTGGAATGCCCGGGGCTGGACCAACAGTCCTGGCAGCCAAATGCTTCAGTTTATTCACCCGACTGGGCTGTGCAGACCTCCTGAAACCACAGTCCTGAATACTGACACCCCTCCCGATACCCAACCTCCCGATACCACACAGACCTGAATACTGATACCCCTCCCGATACCCAACCTCCTGAAACCACACAGTCCTGAATACCAATATCCCTCCCGATACCACACAGTCCTGAATACCAATACCCCTCCCAATACCCGACCTCCCAATACCACACAGTCCGCAGGGACCACTCCTGTGCATGGGGGGGCAGAAGTGATCTGCTTCCATGGCCCATTCCTACGGTGGCTTCTCAACTGAGACTGCCAATGGCTCAGTTCCCAATAGCCAGGATGATTGTGACGTGCGGGCTGTACCCGGAGGCCCACAAGTGGGCCTCACGCATGCCGCCAACAGCCAGCAGACGGAGGACAACGTTTCAACTCTGCCACCGAGGTTTGGGTAGGTCTGGTTGGGGTTTTGAGACAAAACTTATCATCACTGAACATAAAGAGGGTTCTCCATCTCTAGATGGGCCCTAGCAAAGACAAACGACGGCTGGCAAATGAGCATGAGTTACACCTGTGTGCGGTGTTGCTGTAGCCAAATGGGTTCCAGGATGTTAGTGAGACGGTGTGTGTGAGGTAATACGCCAGTGGTTCAGAAGTTCAAGGAGAAGCTGAGAGGGAAAACAGAATTGGCACTTTGCCAGGAGCAAGCATGCCTGAGGAAGGGACTGGGTTAAATCCTTCAGTCACATGCCTCCTTAATTCAGAGGCCTCTACTCCAGCAGCTTTTCCTTGCCTCCTTTGCCCTCTCCATCCTGCAACCTCAAACTCTTTCCGGAAGCGATCTCCACCGTGGGTGTATATGCTGCTATTCAGCTTCGAGCGGTAACATGTCCACCTTTCCCCCGGTGCCTGGAGAAACCTAACCAGAGCTGACCCTCATCCACAGGAGAGAGCTGTTCTCAAGGAAATGTGGGTGTTTGGAAACAGGGGGGATCCGTTTGGGTTTTTAGGTGCAGAGGACACAATGAGGTGGGGGGGAAGGAGGTATCTGGGAGAGAAAGCTGAGGGTATAGCTGGATTTGCTAGTTTGGGGATTCAAGCAAACGGATGGCTGATTATCATGCAGTCTGAGAGAGGGGTGCATGGGACAAGTTCTTTAGTGGCCATCAGAGAAGCCCTAGTCAGACAGACTTGAGGCCCTGTTGTTGAATCTATCACCTACTCCCACCTTGCCTAGGGACTAGTCACAAGGGGAAAGGCACGCCGGCCAACAAAACACAGGGAGCAGTTTGCAATTCAATTCTGGCGTGGCTGTTTTAACTATAGATATAGAGAGATATAAACGTGGTAGCTGCGTGGCAGCTGGTCTGGTAATATTGAAATGGGAATACCTTGTTCGTCTTGGCTTCCCAGAAGTCTTGTGGGCCGGGATGGATGGTGCTCCATCCCTGTAACAGAATAAAATTTAGAAACAAAAATCATTATATCGTTTGGTGGTCGCTGCTTTTTTTTCTTCTTTGCTGGGTTTTTGTCTTTCCGTTATTTACACAGAGTTGCAAAGTTTGGCTTGGTTTGGCCATTTCAAAAAAGAGGCGGGAGGGGCGTTCCCTCCACGGGACGTTGAGCAATGGTGTGAAGGGATGGGCTCTATTAGAGTGTGTCAGTTGTGTAAGGAAGGCCTCATGGGATTGTAACCGCACTGCCCTCTCTCCTAGGAATGTGAATCGCTCAAGGAGGCAAAGGGCACAGACTGCCTGGATCCTAGCATGTCTCAGATGCCTGACCCAGCACACTGTGCATCTTCTATACATCTTGATAAAGGAACAGTTATGGGGACCACCGCTCTGGGTCAGAACACCACTAATACCAGCTCCAGGCTTCAGCGCTAACCCTGCCTCGCTGGTGGGGTGGAACCAAACCGTCGAGGCGAACGCTGCTGAAGGGTGGATTTGGATTCTGACAGGGACGCTGCATACTGGGCCCTTCTACTGTGCTCAGCACATCGAGCTCACGCCCCAAAGAAGACACGGAGTGATCCTTCATCGTTTTTCAGAGTACAGCGGCGACCACACAACCACCCAAAGGAACGCCTAAAGGAACACAGCAGGAACACGGCCCAAAGGAACACGGCGTCACCATGCCGTGGGGGAATTACGAGACTACTGGAGGGCAAATGGGAAAAAAACGGCGCCTCTCTCCCCTGCATCGCATGCGAGAGGTGAAAGACGAGACCGTGTGATTCAAAAGATTAGGCCTTGGGCTGGAATTGACAAAACGGGGATTCTGCTCTGGACTCCTGCCTGCTCTGTGGAATTGGCCAAGTTATTTCTCCTTTCTAGACCTTGAATTCCCCCTCTCGCTAGTTCAGCTTTCTGATTTAGATCGTAAACTTGCAGGGTGAAAGACTAACAAGCTCCGTGTGTGTCTCCAGTAGGAATCTGATCTCATTTGGTGCTTGCACCCTTTACTTAACTATAACAAAACAGTAATAATGAGAACTGGGTTATGGAACATGCTCTTTCCACTCTGCACAAAGCTGTAGCTGATCAGAGCCAGGAAAGCTGCAACCAGCCACGCCGGGTGTGGAATCCGCAGATGCCCTGTTTTGCATCTGTGAAGATGAGGAACTCCATGTCATGAAAGGAGCCTTTTATTACACAACATCAGCAGCATCTTTCTGAGTACACTGGTGCCCTATGAATCAGATGTGTGACTGAGAACTGGCAACAGTTCTACCACAACGGACTTTGTTAAACTTCCCTTGGGTGACATACTAAAAAAACCCACTTATTCCCTACCACTTAAAGACTCACCCCCCACCCCAAATCTAGGTAAATGCTCATTATGTCCCCTATCTATCTTGTAAACTTTTTAACCAAGATTTGTAATTGTAGATAATCCAAGCCTGACCGCAGATGTACAGAGCATTTCCTCTACAACTGCGTGAACTTTGATTTCAAACATTAGCTTTAATAAAAAATTGTATATCCCTGCATCAGAAGTCACTGTGTCTTGGTCTTGTTGATCTAGTGAGCCTTTTCCATATCTAATTAGGGTGAACCTGCATTTTGATTCATAATATATTTATGACACGGTTCTTTACCAAAAATCGAACTTCTATCCCAGACATAACAAACATCAATAAAGCTGTCTGGAGAAACTTCAGTGGAACCATTTTCCATTGGAATATGCTGTTCTGCCTCAATCAAAACCTTTTGCAAAGTTTTGTCAGAATTGCATTTCAGAAGAAAACTGGGGGAAGGAGGGGAAGTTTCAACACAGTCAAAACAGCCCATTGCAACCTTTCCACAACAGAAACATTTGATTTGTCATTTTGAAAGGACTATTGAAAAAAATATAAAAGCCACAATCAAAATGAAACATTTCAAACAGTTTTTCTTCTCTGAATTTTCTTTCCAGAAACTATGGAAATATTCAGCTTTGGCAATCTCAGAATCCTTTGTGAAATAGGATCCCCATCCTCCGCACATAGTTCTAGTCATTTGACACGAGAACTTTTTATGAGATTTCCTCTGATTTACAAGTACAGAATCTACCAAGACCTTTACTGAGTATTTTTCACAGACATCTCTTCAGCCCACATGATTTGGCCTGGTTTTGTTCTTAAGCAACCAGAGAGAAGCAAGAAAACAGAAAAAAGGTGGCTTCTAGGAGATACAGGAAAAAATCTCTCACCCCCCTCCCATAACACTTTGCCTGATCATTTTAATAGGTAGATATATTCTCTTTGTAGAGAGAAAGTAATAACAAGATACTATCTTTTATAGCATGTGAAACTGAGCTACTGCCATGAGGGTGTGATTGAGTAATAAATCCACCAACTGCTGGAAAAGAACAAGTGGTTAACAATTAGCGCTTCAAATAGGAAAGGGAAAATATTGGTTACTAGTGCAGCGTCGCTAACTCTTGTGATTTTTATAATGCACCTCAAGGTCCTTCACAAGTATCTTAAACCCCCAGCTCTTGGAGTCATGTGAACATATCAGGAATTCAGCCCTCAGTGAAAAAGAAAAAAAAGTTGTACCCTCATGGCTGCAGAGAAAAGTTTCAGAATGTAACTCCCTAGGCTCACATGCTAAAAGGCGAATGAATGCTCCAAATGTATTATTGATAATAATCATGGTTTTTAACCCCAATCTCGGTCTGTTTGGAGCTGGACTCATGAGTTTTGTGCACTTGTGTTGAGCAATATTGCACCCAAGAGCTGAGGTGTCTTTCAAAGAGCTGAGATCTCTTCTGTGGTTGGGAGTGAAGATACCTAAACCACAAGGACATCAGGTGTCTGTCAGCGGAAGGAGGTATCATTGCTCTTAACGCCTTCTCTCTGCTGGGGCCTTGCCCTCCAAGCTGGAGGATAACCAACTCCCAGAGAAGTTCCCCTGGTCGGCAGTACTCTGAGATGAAACCTTAACGGTTCACATCATCAGAACCCTCAGTGCCTGGTGCTCTTTAATGGGGGAACGCACTGAATATCCAGCTCATTAATGCACTCAGCCCCTTATCTGTAATAACCCCGCCTCTGAAAGGACTGTCTGGTTTCTGCTCGGGAAGGTCTGACAGATGCCTGTAGGCCAAAATGGTGCCCAGAATCCAACACCTCCCCCCTAACTACATCAGCCTCAGTTGCACCCTGGAGCTGCGGGAAAAGAGTCCTTGGGTCTAGAAAAGACACAAAAGCATGCAAGGCATATATGCCCGAGCAACATGTGAGGTGCTGCTGGAACGGAGAGGTTCTCAGAGGCTGGAGGTGTCCATGGGGACTGCCGTGCTAATTTAATACCCTTTGGATGGGTAATCATCTGCTTAGGTCAGACCTGAGACTGCGCCCGAGTTTGTGTTACTTTCCCACTGGTCCCAACCCTCTGGCTTGAGAATTCAGGCTATCCTGGACTTGATGCTTGGCTGCTTTCCCTGATTCCATGAGAAGCTTGGCTGGACAACCACATTCATCCTTTCCACACAGCCTTTGTGCCCATTTCAGTGTCAGGGGAGGAGCTCAGCAAGGAGGGAGATATAACAGGCAAAGCCATGCCCAAGCAGGAGCTAGGAGGCCTCGCCCCCTCCTGGCTATGCTCCTGAGGGACCACTACTATTAAATCCCTCACACATGTGGCACCTTCAAACAGCAACATGCGTGACGGGACACTCTACCACATGGCCTGTGCTAGCCATGCCCCTGGGCACCGGGTCAAAGCCACCTGCCTTGTGCAAAGCCAGGCGCAATGCACCACGCTCTTCTGTATCCAAGAAGAATTTTAATGAAGGAAGCAACGGGCACTGGAGGAGACGGATTTCCTACTGGCAGAGTTGCCAGAACGAAGCATTTTGTGCCCCTCCGTTAGTGCTACTATTACAGCGTTTGTTTGTTTATTCAGGAAAAGCAACAGGCTGTGGCAGCTTGTAATTACCGCTTCCCCTGCACTAATACAGATAACCCCTTTTTTTCCAAGATGAAAATGGGTACTCGTAGGAATAATCATTTGGATGGGCTGCTGCTCTTTCCTCACGGTGTATTTCACTGTCACCGAAAACCGGTTTAATGGAATTGAAGCTTTTCAAAGGATTCAAGAATTCAGTCCCTTTATGTGAGGGGTGAAGGAAGGAAGATAGGAAGAAAGGAAGGAAAATATTCTTTTCTGTGGTAATGTTGTGCAACCCATTTTGAAACAGACCTATTGTACACCAGGTCCGAGGGAAATGTTTTTATTTATATAACACCATTAGCTGTGCCTGAAGCGTTACTGATATCTATGATCACAAGACCATGCTGATTTCAGGGGCAGTTAGAAATCTACCTATGCTTGAGGATCTGGGCTCGGGGGGAATAAAGTACTTCTGAGAAATTCTGTTTCTACATTTGAGCAGATTTTGGTGGTGCAGGACAGCAGTGTGAGCGCTGCATAAAGTCTTATCACACTATGGCCTAGTCTACACTGCTGCGAGCCATCGATCTAAGTTACGCAACTTCAGTTATATCAAGGCTGTGTCTACATTGGCACCCCTTTCCAGAAAAGGGATGCTAATGTAGACTTTGGAATAGGCAAATCCGCGGGGGATTTAAATATCCCCCGTGGCATTTGCATTAACATGGCTGCCGCATTTGCTTAAACAGGGCTGCCGCTTTTTTCCAGCTTGGAGAAAAGCCGGAGAAAAGCGCCAGTCTAGACGTTATTCTCCGTAAAATAAAGCCTTGAAAGTAGGAATAAGAAATCCTCCGGAAAAGGCTTTATTTTCCGGAGAATAACGTCTAGACTGGCGCTTTTCTCTGGCTTTTCCCCAAGCCGTAAAAAAGCGGCAGCCATGTTAATGCAAATGCCGCGGGGGATATTTAAATCTCCCGCGGATTTGCCTATTCCAACGTGCTACATCAGCATCCCTTTTCCGGAAGGGATGCCAGTGTAGACGTAGCCCAATAGCGTAGCAGAAG